AAAAAAAAAAAAAAAAAAAAAAAAAAAAAAAAAAAAGGGCTATACTTGCCACTAACACCAGTTTCAATTTAGGGGAAATTGCATGGGATGGCTGGCATTTGGATGACAACGCCCGTCTGGAGGCATCGCAGAAAGGCTACCGGCTGCACTTCGAGACAAAAGGATGTAAGTGGATGTACCAGAAGTTGTATAAAGGGACGCTGGACCTGGTTTCCAGCAGGTGCGGCTCCCCACCAATGCACTGGAGCAACCAGGAAGCCCGCTTGGGGGGGGGTGCTCTTATCACCTCTCCTAGCGGTGGGACTGGGTATTGTTTAAAAACTAATAAAAAGAACAATAATATATATTTTATTATTTTTTTAAGGGGAAAATTGCATCTGTAGTAGATTCTGTACCTCATTTACATATGGGAATTCCCGCAATACCCAGTTGCAGCACCCAACTTGCATCTACATCCTAATACCCTACTTTCCCTGTGCGCCAAATTATATGCGGACCCGGTCCCACAGGCCCTTGGTTGGGGAGCACAAACTACGCTTCTGCCCAGAAAACGGGCAGGCAAAATTGGGTATGCACATAATTTGCCTGGGTATGTGCATAATTTAAGTGTTCCGGTAGTTGGGTATAACTGCAATTTGGCAGTACCAACCTTGGTCCATGTCGGTCCCAGGTATGCACATAATTTGCACAAGCCATTTCCTGGCTATAGATGCAACTCGTGTGCTGGGACTGGGTATAACGGGTATTCCCATCTGTAAATGGGGTACAGATGCAATTTTCCCTTCATTTTATCCTTTCCTCTGTTGCAATTGCAATCATTGGATTGTGCATAGTGCATCACTGCATACATGAAATTCAGTTCAATTAACTAGGATGCTTTTCATTGACTGGTGGGGACCACCTAATTGATTCGGTTGATTTTGACAAGGGCATAGCAGCCACCAAGACCTGGTTCAAGTTCTGTTCCACCCGTGCCTGGGCTGGATGTTACACACATGCGACTCTATAAACAGGTCAAGAGTTCAAATCCTGCGCATACAATCACGTTGGGGGCAATTCTGTACTTAAAACCAAACTCAAAAAAAAAAAAAAAAAAAAAAAAAAAAAAAAAAACATACGGAAACTTGTCAGAAAGTAGAAGTACTAGAAACCCTCAACTGGCCAAAAAGTTTTTTGACCCTACAACGCCCGGTCATTATAGCTGCATCTGGACTGAAAGCTGCCCTCAATACAGCTCTAATGACCGAGCGTTCTATTCGGGTGAAGACGGTAGCTATCTAGGACACATGGAATTTCTCAGCGGGCACGGTAGGCACAAACAAACTTCAAATACGAGGGTTGGTGGGGACAGGTCAGCTGGCAAACTTGTTCGACTCTATGCAATCAACCCAGGACACCGAAAAAAAAAAAGGAGAAAAAGGATGCTGCGGAGGGTCAAGGACTGCTGAGGGCAATGGCTGAGGCAGGACAAAATCATTTAAACCAACGCATTCAAGAATGATTTCTGCTTCACAGTTCAACCATTATTTCTGCTTCACAGTTCAAACATTGGCAAAAGTCAAGAAGGACTACAACAGACAAGATTCGAGAGGGGAGAAAGGATTCGGTTCAGGACAATCGCAATCAAACAATGACAAGGGGGGTCAACAGACAGCAGGAGCAAAAAAAAAAAAAAAAAAAAAGGCATACTGACAGCAGGAGTGCACTGAAGAGCAAGGATTGGAATGAACAGTAGTCATGAGGATGGTAGGTGTTGGAATATGTGAGGTGGATGAGAAGCGGGGTGGCAGAGGCGCCCCTGCAGAGGAACACATACAGAAAAAGCATCAGCACAGTCATTCTGACAGTCTACATAGGACAGCAACAACAGCAATTCCAAAACAAGCAGCAACCACCAGACTCAAGGTTGCCAGTCTTCTCTTGCAAGGGACTACTAGAAGGAGAGAATCCTAATGTAGATATCAAAAGAAGAAGGTATCTGATACCTTTTGTCTTTCTGAACACTGCTATGATCTATTCGTGGGGAGCAACAGATGCTGGGAACCAGGCCCAGCGTCCCTTACGAAGATATAGTATATACCAAACAGTTGAAGTTACTGGGGCCAGGGCCCATTACCTAGTGTTGGCTACCTTCTTACCCCGAAAAAAAACGTACGTTGTATATGAATACAACGTACGGGGTTTGTTGTATTCGTACGTTGTATTCGAATTTCGAACACAGCATACGTACGTTGTGCAACGAATTTTGAGGAACGACTTTTCCAGGGCGGCCCTTTATGGGGTACATTGTATTCGAATACAACGTAGTAATGTATGTACGTTGTATTTGAATTTTGGGTTATGAGAGGGCGGCCCTGGAATGTGTGAGAGGACCCCGGCCTCGTCACTTTGAGTGGGAATATATGCAGATTTTGGTGAAAAAAAAAAAAAAACAACGAACGTTCTAGTCTGTTTCCCCCCCCGCCAGCAAATTTGGTAGGAAATTTCAACAATATTTGTATTGCATTGTTCTTCGACATAGATGGGTTTTGGGGAAATTTTGCCACTTTTTGGATTTTTTCGAACGTTTTTTCAAATAGTGAAAAATGTCTCAAATGCCACAGACTTCGAATAGAACGTACATATGTTGTATTCGAATACACCGTACGTACGTTGTATACGACCGTACATCTGGGCTACCAGATTGGCCCGGGACCACTTGCAACGAAAAAAATAAAAATAAAAAATGGTAAAGAATTTCGATGTGACACTGAGGCAAAAGTTATTCGGTTTATTTTTCTGCATAACA